AGTGCTGGGTTCAGTGTTGGGCCCCTGAGTCCAAGAAGGACATGGAGGTGCTGGAGCGTGTCCAGAGAAGGGAACGGAGCTGGGGAAGGGTCTGGAGCACAAGTGTGCTGAGTTCCCTTGTGGCTGAGGGAACTGGGGGTGCTGAGCCTGGAGAAAAGGAGGCTGAGGGGAGACCTTGTGGCTCTGTGCAAGTCCCTTGGAGGAGGGTGGAGAGAGGTGGGGGTGGGTCTGTGCAACCAAGGACCAAGGGACAGGACAAGAGGAAATGGGCTCCAGTTGTGGCCAGGGCAGTTGAGATGGGATGTGAGGAAGAATTTCTTTGCTGCAAGGGTTCTGAGGCATTGGAAGGGGTTGCCCAGGGCAGTGGTGGAGTCCCCATCCCTGGAGGGATTGAAGAGTCGTGTAGACACAGTGCTGAGGGACATGGGTTAGTCATAGGGGACTTGTCAGTGTTGGGTTCATGGTTGGACTTGATGAGCTTAAAGGGCTTTTCCAATCTGTGTGATTCTGGGATTCCAATCTGGCTCCTGAGCTGTCGACTCCTCTCTGAGTGCTGCAAGTGGCTGAAATTCAGATGCTGCTTCCCCCAGCCCTGGGGTGGAGCGTGGCTGGGTGCTGCTGCTGTTCTCAGCCCTGTCTGAAGGGTTCTGCCTCATCACCCACAGGTGGGGATCCTGGATGTGGACCTGTGTGGCCCCAGCATACCCCGCATGTTCAGGGTGCAGGACAACAACGTGCACCAGTGCGACAGCAGCTGGGTCCCCGTCTTTGTGGACCAAGACAAGAGCATCTCACTCATGTCCATCGGGTTCCTGCTGGAGAAGCCAGATGATGCTGTGGTGTGGAGAGGACCCAAGAAAAACGGTACAGTTGGGTGTTGCTGTCTGTGGTCACCTTCTAGTGGTAGGAACCTTCTGCAGATCTTCCTAGAGGTGGTTTGTTCCTGCTGGGGACCAGGCTTCCATGAGATCCTGCAGGACTGATGGTGTCTGACACTTGGCAGGAGAATGAGTAAAAGCCTCTGGTGAAGGTGTCTGCTTGCAGTTTGCCCCATGAGCTGTTTTGGGAAGGATCCATGGATTAAGTGTCCCTCTGACTTGGCAAAAGAAGTAAATGTGAGCATGGGAGTGTTGAAGGCCAGGTTGGATGAGGCTTTGAGCAGCCTGGTCTAGTGGAAGGTGTCCCTGCTGCTGGCAGGGGGGTTGGGACTGGATGAGCTTTAAGGTCCCTTCCAACCCAAACCAGTCTGGGATTCCTTGGAGCAAGACAAGGCTCCTGTTCTGCAGGAGGGGGTTCAGGTCACTGAGGTGGGAAGGTGCAGTTGGTGTTGTTGCTGACAGACAGCCCTGCCCTCTGTCCGTGAGTCCTTGTCACCCAGGGTGCCTCCCAGCCCACAGCTCCCAGGTCACCTCCTGGAACTTGTTTTTATTTCTGTCCCTTTTATTTCTGTAGCTTTGATCAAACAATTTGTTTCTGACGTGGCCTGGGGGGACCTGGACTTCCTCATCGTGGACACACCGCCAGGCACATCCGACGAGCACATCTCCACCGTGGAGGCTTTGAGACCCTACAAACCCCTCGGAGCAATCCTGGTCACAACACCCCAGGTAGGGCAGCTGGCTGGGGCTGGACTGGAGTTCCTGGGCAGGCTGCTGCCTCCAGGTATGGTTTGGGGGGGGACACACCCCCCAGGGTGGGTGTTATCATAGGATCCCAGACTGGTTTGGGTTG